TATATATATATATATATATATATATATATCTATAGTTTTCATTCTAATCCAGTAGTTTCGTCCGTTGAATTTCGATTCGCCGTGTTACACAGGTGGGCAGCGTTGCCGTTCTCGCACTTAACGGAGAAAGCCTTCGACGACTCGAGCATGTCGAACATGGTGCTCTTCTGCGTCAACACGTTCATAGGCGTAGCTTCCTTGGCCACCATTTTGGTGCTCGACATTCTCGGAAGAACGAAAACGGCGGAGGACGTGCGAGACATGTTGCACTACGTCCTGTTGATCTTCCCTCAATACGTCTTGGGCGACGCTCTGGTTCAAATATCGCGGAACGACATCACGGCACAATTGTTGGAGAAGTTCCACATGGACACTTATCAGTCGCCGTTAGGCTGGGAGTTGCTAGGCCTTCATTACGTCTTCCTAGCTATCGTTGGCGCCGTTCTTTTCTCCCTGAATCTGATGACGGAGTGCCGACTCGTTCCCAGTTGGAGCAGGCAGAGATGCCCGTACGAGGTGGTCCAAGAGGACGACGACGTGTCGAAGGAGAGGATGAGGGTGGAGAGTGGCATGTCGGACGACATCTTGCAGACGGTGAAACTACGCAAAGAGTACAGGAGCGTTTACGGGACGAACGTAGCCGTTCAGAATTTGAGCATCGGAGTGCAGGCGGGAAAGTGTTTCGGTCTTTTGGGGACGAACGGCGCGGGGAAGAGCACCACGTTCCGTATGTTGACGACGGAGATCATACCGACAGCCGGCAGGATAATACTGAGGGGCAAGGAGATCGGTTCGGGGCCACTGTGCAACGGCGAGGTCGGTTATTGTCCTCAGAGCGACGGTCTGGACGGCTTCCTTAGTCCGCATCAGTGTCTAACGATTCACGGGGAAGTTTGCGGGCTGAGCAACGTTCCCAAGGTAAGAGGTTGATTTATGTTCAAACTTTCAACCCGTTGCCCCGCGGTTTCGCTCGGGGACCTTTGAGTAACTTCACCGTCGTGCTTCACCGAGGCGAGAATTGTGTTTTTAATTATTTCGCGTTCGAACTTCTTTCGGGCTTGTAGCGTAGGAAATTCATCATGCTCCCTTCCTTCCTTCCTTCCTTCCTTCGTCATTTTTCCTTCTTTTGCTCTCGCTTTTGTTTTCGCAAGACAAATAATTCCACGCGAGTGGATCTTCGAAGTTGCTCCTCGAACAAGGGTTTCTTACTTTTCCCTTTTTTCCCTTCTTCGCTTCTGTTCCATAGAACCAGCCAGGTTCCCTTTTTTGCAGGAATTTAATATTACCCGGTGAAAAATTGTTTGTTTCAGGCGGTGGAGTCAGCGTTGAAGAGACTCGATCTTCTGAAATACGCGCACAAGAGAGTGAGCAGTCTCAGCGGAGGCAATAAAAGGAAACTGTGCACCGCCTTGAGCGTAATGGCGCCGGTGTCGGTGGTTCTTATGGACGAGCCGACAAGGTATTTCGCAAAACGGTTTATTAAACGCCTCTTTTCTAATAAACAGAATCCAATTCACTCCGTTTTCTCCTTCGATTCCGCCGTGTACAGCGGAATGGATCCCGCGACGAAGGATCTCGTGGCCAAAACGATCAGGCGTATGACGAGGAACCAGAGTTGCGTAATTCTGACGTCGCACAGCGTGGCCGAGTGCGAGAATCTGTGCAACAGGGTCGGCATCCTCGCCAAGGCTGGCCTCAGATGCATAGGGACGCCGCAGCATTTAAAACACAAGTAA